ACGCCAACACAATGGACGAGTCCGACCAGCAATGAAAGGTGCAATCGAAATCTATGGCTTCCCTGGCGTTTACGATTAGCTCAGCCAATAAAAGCGCTGCGGAAAGTTCTAATCTTGGAATTGTTAAGGCCTTCAATGGAGCTACCCTTGACTTGGCACAGAGCAGATGGACTTTCGATTCTCCATTGGTCTCCGATCGCAAGTATAGACACGCTCCATAAGCTGACATGCTAGCATCGCAGAATCCATGCAACTCAACGGAAGCCCTTGGTTGCAGTACGAATCGTGGGAATTTTAAGTTCTGTACGACCGATAACTGTGAGGTCAACTCCCCCCATGACGAAAGAATGGGCTCTGGCAGTGCATCATCCCAATCCACGTTCGCACTCCATAGAGATTGCAGAAAAATCTTAGATTTTGTGATAATAGGAGTTATTAAACCGAGTGGATCATAGAATTTGGCAATCGTCGACAATGCAACCCGCTTAGTGGGTCGTTGATTGATTGGCAGTTGAGAAAAATGAAATAGGAGCTGATCAGAAGATGGATCCCAGACTAGTCCCAATGCCTTGGCGACATCCGATCCATCGTGAAATTTGATTAACTGCTCCTTGTCGCATTCAGACTCTCCCTTCAGGGCTGCTGACTCATTCGAACACCATTTGCGAATTGGAAAGTGGCCTCGCGACAGTAATTCCTTCACCTGACGACGAATTTCTCTCACCTCCTCAACTGAGTCCCCACCAGATATTAAATCATCCACATAGAAATCTCTACGAACAATTTTTGCTCCAATAGGAAATGATTCCTCCTCATCGTAAGAGAGTTGATGCATGGCCCTTATAGCCAAGAAGGCAGCTGGCTTGGTTCCGTAAGTCACCGTGTTCAATTTAAAAACACTCAATTCTTTCCTGGAGCTCTCTCTCCAAACGATGCACTGCAAGAAATCATCCGGGTACGAAACACGCACGCAACGGTACATCTTGCAGATATCTCCACAAAGGGCAACTTTAAAAAATCGAAAGCGAAGCAGTATATTGAAGATTTTTTGTTGAATTGTTGGTCCTGCCAGAAGTAAGTCGTTCAGAGAGCTACCAGAAGTTGTTTTAGCAGATCCATCAAAAACGACACGAAGCTTCGTACTCGTGCTTTCCTGCTTATGTACGCAATGATGGGGCAAAAAGAATTGTGTTTCTGGCGGTTCCTTAGTTACAAGAGACATGTGACCTAGGTCGATATACTCCCTCAAAAATGCTGAATACTGAGCTTTCAGGGCTGGGTTTCTATCTAATTTAGCTTCCAAACTCTTGAAACGACGACGAGCCAAGCAATAAGAATCACCTAAAGATTCGAATCCGGAAGTGGTCAAGAGACGAACAGAGTATTGGCCGTTTCCAAGTCGAATGCAATTTTCAGTAAAAAGTTGCTCACATCGCAAGTCTTCCGGCAATAAAGATGGCTTAGACGAAGTGAAGTCCTCAATTTCCCAAAATCGCTTTACAATGGCGGAAAGTGTGTCATCGGAATAATCAGCTGGGTCCTTGATGCTGGCTTGTAAAACCGACTTATGAGTTGGCATGTTCGATGATAACCCTCCAGAGACTATCCAACCAAGCTTGGTGTTCTGAAGAGTTGGCAAAGCCCTATCCAAATGAATTTGTCCCATAGAAATTATTTCGAAAAACAACCCAGCGCCGAGTAAAAGGTCAATTCGTTGTGATTGATTGAAATTAGGGTCAGCGAGTGAAATGTTTTGCGGTATCCTCCACGATGTTGCATTTATATTGAAATGGGGTTGATAATCAGTAATACTGTGAGTCACAACCGCTGTGAATGCCGCTCGATAGCTTGCATCCCGTGATTGCACAAGAATATCGACAGTCTTATCAGAGATCATGGAAGATTCTCCTATCCCAGAAATCGACGTTTGCGATCTTCTGTGATTCAAGTTTAGTTGGCTGGCTAAGCGAGAGGTTATGAAGTTTAGCTGGGAGGCCGAATCTAAAATTGCTCGGCAAGGCATAAATGCTCCAATTCTATTTCTGACGTAGATAATAGCAGTTGGAAGCAACACGTAGTCGATCGGCAAAACATTTAAGGCTTTGGGTGGGGGGCTTGGTAAATGATGATCAGGATGCGATGATGTATGCGAACATGATACTAATGCTGCTGAAGTAGATGGTAATGGCTGAGAGCTCGAGGATGGATCGCATGATGGAGATGAAAATGAGGTTGATGTTGCGGATGGGTCATGGTTCATGTGTAATAATGAATGATGCTTCATGCGACAATACTTGCAGTGAGTCGACTTGCATTGCTGCAAACTATGCCCCTTGCGCAAACAGTTGAGGCAAAGGTGCAACTTCTTTGCTTCTCTATATCGAAGATTCGGACTCAAATTTAAAAATCGAGGACACTTTGGCAAATAATGATCCCGTGCATCGCAAAATAAGCATGTCAAATGATTTGAGTTAGTAGCAGATGCAATAAGTGTATTTTGGTTATATTTGTGCAAGTTTTTTCCCACCTGTTGGCCTGGTGTTTGAGTTACCAAGGCTTGATCCAAGTTTTCCATCATCCTGCACCTCTTTTCCAAAAACGACTCCATAGCATCCCAGGTAGACAGCTCAGTGATTGACAAATCCTCTTCCCATTTTTCCCGCGTCCTCTGATCCAGTTTCCGAGTGACGATGTGAATTAAAAGTCCATCCAAAATTTGTTGCGTATTGGCCAGGGTTCGAATTGCTCGCAGATGCGAATTCATGCAATCGCTCAGCTCCCGAAGACCCTTCGAAGATCCCTTCTCGACACCCTTTAAACCGAATATTGCCTGAACATGTGCCTGAAAGTGTAAAACTTTATTATCAAATCGATTAACCAGCAAATTCATAGCCTTTTTAAAATTAGCATTCGAGGGTTCGAGCGAGCGTATGGTTTCCAGAGCCACGCCGCCCAAACTCGAACGCAAATATTGTAATTTTTCAATGTCGCTTAGCTCATCATCATTTCCGATGACCGTAGTGAAAGTCGCAAGAAAATCCGGCCACTCAGAGTAGGATCCATGAAAACGAGCAATTTCCAAATTTGGCAACCGAGGCTTTCTAGATCGAAAAGAAAGATCCGCATTATTAGTGATGTCAATAGATGTTGAATTTGCAGCGGTTGAAGCCGGCAATTGTGACTTGCGATGAGCCGCCAAGCCTCGGCTTAGTTTCGCCTTCACATCCATGAAGACTTCAGCAAATTCAATCCGATGGTCGCTCGAGATCTCTGCAAAGTCCAGTCTTTCCAACGATGTCTGCGCAGAATCAAATGCCTGGTTTAAGGAATTGATCCATTCCATTCGCGCCAGCAGATCAGATTCGTCAAACTGATTAACCGCATCAGCGTTTAAATAGCATTTCATCGAGCTCATTTGCCGCAAAATAGATTGGGCTTTGACTCGGTAGTAGTCGACGTCACTTGTGGATTCATTTTGAGCCCGAACCGAGTTTTCCGTATCAGACATTTTTCAATCACGAAAAAGAAAAAAATGAAATGAAAATGAAGTAAAGTAAAATGTCCGACCGCGTTAGAGGCACAAAACACCGTATACCCTTTACCGCGAAAACGTGAAGGTTAACAAGCGTCGCTGAGATGCAACGGAACCTTTAACTTTGTTGTTGTTGTTCTTGCCGGTAAATTGCCTGCCTAGCAACAGCGGATTATGTAACTGGCAAACGAATGTATGTATGGCTATATGTACATGTATATATGTAATATGCGCTATTAACAAAGATTAAATGCGATTCCCTTTGTTAAGAATTATTTGCACAACACAAATTTGGTGCTTTTTCACAGCGCAAAATGTACAAAAAATCAAACGGCCGGCTGTGCACTTTTATATGCACATATGTATGTATGTTTGTCTGTTTGTGACCGAATGCACGATAAAGACAGCGAAACAAAGCGTTTGTTTAAACTATATTAAACAATCGCGAAACCGAGTTGCAGACTCCGATTAAAACTGCTATCACGTCGGGGTCACCAAATGTTTGTGGGGAAGACAACAAATATGCCACCCTTATATTTATAATTAATAACGCACGAATAGGTTATATTAAAATGTATAGCTTTTATTCGGAGCGGCAGACGGACTGTGAATGTGTAAAAAGCTTGGCTCCAAGATCTTCATATAGACATATGCAGGCTTACAAAGTAGTTGCTGAATAGATAAGCGACAGCTTTATGGGTATAAGAAAGAAGGCGAAAGATAAGCAGAGAGCGATGCAGGTGCCGTCGTACACCTATGCGCGCATGACTAGGCGCTGGCGATCTGCTCCGAACAATAGTATTGATGTTCGGTAAAAACCGTCCCTTTCCTAAAATCTATAACTGTATTACAACAAAAATGTACTAAAGGTAAAGGTCAGTTTTATGGAGTGAGTGGGTATGGTACCAAAAATCCATCCTAACTCATTTATTTTTGGAATTAGGGGCTTGAGTTCTTGCAGCTCGACTTGACTGTATATACGGTTAGGGTTTGAGAGTAAGCTATTTTTAAGCTTTGATAACAGCAAACATTTCAACTTGTAATCTCTTAAGTGTGTTGCGTTACATTCCATAGTCCTAATCGCATTTGTGAAAGTATTAAACAACCTAACAAACATTAAATAACGATTCAGTTGCTTTGCAGTTCTACAACTTTGACTTTAGATGACAGTTTAAGTATTACCTGAAAAATCTGTCGATCGCAGCGTGAACATGCAAAATTTTCCGATAAGATAGTTGCGAGGACTGCCGCGTATTTTGCACTCTAGAGGTTTGCAAAACCCAGTAAATGTTTATTCAGTCTTCAAGGGTTTCACCCCTTACCAGACCCCAAACTTCTCATGAAAAAATGTCAGGCGACAAGAAAAGCAAACCAAAAAAAATTCAGAACAAATAAAAACATCAAAACACTTGACCGGGGACAGGGGAATTTTCAAACACATTTTAGTTTTTAAGTTACAACGAATTCAAACGTACTTTTCGAGAAATTATAGTTCCCCAACAGCACACACGAAAAGTCTGTGAACACCTGTATGTGGAGAGCAGGGTGAAGGGCGAGACCCGAAACGCGAGTAGAACTCTGGCCGGAGTAAGGAGCACAGAGGAGGAGGAGGAGCAGCGGACGAGGAGCACCGCGCGGCGGATGTGGCAAAGAAGCCGTCACCATTAAGTCGTCAAATCAAAGTCGGTCCCGCAAGGCACCGGCCTCAGCAGCGGGCCATCGTACAGCCCGTCGCTCTCTGGGTGCCAGCGAGGATCAGAGGAGCCACCACCGGGACAGGACGGGTGAGCTGGACCAGCGTAGCCATCTCATGCACGGCCGCGATCCCCGCCAGCAGCAGCCGGAGCCACTGAACAACCTCAACGCCAATGGCCGCTACCACAACCGCATGGTGGCCGGCTCCAACAACTTCAATGGCGCAAACGTGGGCAATTCGGACGCTGGTGTGGCCATCCGGGTGGCCAGGCAAACGGTTCTTGGGCAGCAACAGGCGCGCAACTTGAACATCAATGTGCCCACCGTCTCCTCGGCGCAGCAGCAGCAGTCCCAGCATCGTTTGTCCTCGCAGGGATTGAATGCTGCCCAACGGCGTGCGTTCTTCCTTGCCAGTGGATCTGGACGAGTGCGGACGGATAACAGAACTACCACTACTGCGTCTACTGCTCACCCGTCCACGTCCACGCACATGGCCATGCCAACCCCAACGGCCATTCCCACGCCAGCTCCAGTTCCTGCCGCTCCCGCTGCCGTTAAGACTACACCTAATGCTACCCCCACCGCTCCACAAACCGCCGCTCCACAAACCGCCGCTCCAGTGATCGCCGAAAGTTCGGGAGCGCGGATCAAAGAAATCGGACGGAAGTATCCGCTTTGGCTGCCCGAGTACAAGCGGAGGGCCTTTAATGTTAGCCTACTTCTTTAACAAAGCCAAACAGGGTCTTAAACCATTAGTCGAATTCTGCAAAAAGCTTTCAATTCGCATTTCAATTCATATTTCAATTAACATTAACGATAAAAAAATAGGTAACAGTTGCAGATATTGTAGAATTAAAAAACCGGTTATGTTATAGAGACTTTGAAATAGAGAAAGTTTGAAATGCGATGCCGGTATCAATGTCGTAAGATTAGAGACTAGGAAACACTCAGATTACCAATATTTACTTTCGGTTTTAATCCCTGAATCCAACTATTTCCCTATATTATCTAATAAACATTATATTTTTCCAGGCCTCCATGGACGAGAAGTACGTGGAGACCATTTGGGCCAGTTTGAAGAATGCTATCCAGGAGATACAGAAGAAGAACAACTCTGGGCTGTCGTTTGAGCAGCTCTACCGGAACGCATACAATATGGTGCTGCACAAGCACGGCAACAGGCTGTACTACGGCCTGCGTGAGGTCGTCTCTGAGCACCTGGAGCACAAGGTGCGGGCGGACGTGTTGGAGGCGCTGCACAGCAACTTTCTGCCCAAACTAAACCAGGCCTGGACGGACCACCAGACTTCCATGGTGATGATACGCGACATACTCATGTACATGGACAGGGTCTATGTGCAGCAGCGTGAGGTGGACAACGTATACAATCTGGGATTGATTTTGTTCAGGGATCAGGTAAGGAAAACATTTTGTTTTTAATTGTTTATGTTTTAAACCTATCTTATCTACCAGGTGGTCCGCTACTCGGAAATCCAAAAGGCACTGCGGGAAAAGTTGCTGGGCATGGTGATGGAAGAGCGACACGGCGAGGCCATAAACCATTTGGCCATAAAGAATGCGTGCAGCATGCTGATCACACTGGGTATCAACTCGCGCACTGTCTACGAGGAGGACTTCGAGAAGCCATTCCTTGCCCAATCTGCGGCGTTTTATAAATTCGAGTCGCAGAACTTTCTTGCCGAGAACAACGCTGGCGTTTACATCAAGAAAGTGGAGGCGCGCATCACGGAGGAATCCTCCCGGGCAGCGCTCTATCTGGACAAGGACACGGAGCCGCGCATTGTGCGCGTGGTCGAGGAGGAGCTGATCAAGAAGCACATGCGCCCCATTGTCGAAATGGAAAACTCGGGCGTGGTATACATGATCAAGAACTCAAAGACCGAGGACCTGGCCTGCACATACAAGCTCTTCTCGCGCCTGAAGGAGGAGGGCCTCAAGGTGATAGCGGACACCATGTCGGCATATCTGCGCGAGCAGGGACGCATGTTGGTCAAGGAGGAGGAAAACGGCAACACGAATCCCATCACATTCGTTCAGAACTTGCTGGATCTCAAGGATCGCTTCGACCAGTTTCTGGTGCACTCGTTCGCGAACGATCGCATCTTCAAGAACGTCATCTCGTCCGATTTTGAGCACTTCTTGAATCTAAACAACAAATCGCCGGAGTATCTTTCGCTATTCATCGATGACAAGCTCAAGAAGGGCGGCAAGGGAGTGAGTGTTCCATTACCATAATCTTGGCGACATGTATAAAGGTTTTTCCTTGTTCTTTCACAGATGAGCGAGCAGGAAATCGAGTCCATCTTGGATAAGACAATGGTGCTCTTCCGTTTTCTATTGGAGAAAGATGTCTTTGAGCGCTATTACAAGACGCATTTAGCCAAGAGATTGCTGCTAAACAAATCAGTCTCTGATGATTTCGAGAAGAACATGATATCCAAACTAAAGGTCGGTTAAATATCTTGTACCTCACCAAGTATTATAATTTGTTGTCCCTACAGACTGAATGCGGCTGTCAATTCACCTCGAAGCTCGAGGGCATGTTTAAAGACATGTCAGTCTCCAATACGATCATGGATGAGTTTAAGAACTATGTAAATAATAACAATTTATCCCTGGGCGGTGTGGAATTAACGGTACGCATACTAACCACTGGCTTCTGGCCCACACAGGTAAGTTTGAAAAGTCTTGTTAGAGTCGAAACTCGGTGAACTGTATTGAATTCCCCCAACAGACAGCAACTCCCAACTGCAATATACCCGCCGCACCTCGCGAAGCCTTCGACATTTTCAAGAACTTCTATCTAAACAAGCACTCAGGACGTCAGCTGACGTTACAGCCACAAATGGGTATGATTAAGATACATTTCTATTAGATACCTGTACTTAAAATGATTTATTTCGTTAGGAACCGCCTATATCAATGCTGTGTTTTATGGCCGCAAAGCAGCCGAAAGTGAAAAGGACAAGGATGCACCCAGCTCCAGTTCAAACGGATGCGCAGTGCCCACCACCACGCGCAAGCACATTCTGCAAGTGTCCACTTACCAGGTGAGTTTTAATGGGTCTACATATATCATAAACACATTAAACATATATTTACCATCCCAAAACAGATGTGCGTGCTGCTTCTATTCAACAACCGCGACGTGCTCACCTATGATGACATTCACCAGGAGACGGACATACCGGAACGGGAGCTTGTCCGAGCTCTGCAATCGCTGTCCATGGGCAAACCCGCTCAGCGCTTGCTGGTGCGGAATTCCAAGACGAAAACCAAGGAAATTGAGCCCTCGGATGAGTTTTATGTGAACGACGCCTTTGTCTCCAAGTTCCACAGGTGAGAAATAACTGCCAACTAAGATGGAGCTGTTACTTAAATCGGTATTAAATCAGGGTGAAGATCCAGACGGTGGCCGCCAAGGGCGAATCGGAGCCGGAGCGCAAGGAGACGCGCGGCAAGGTCGACGAAGATCGCAAGCACGAGATCGAGGCGGCCATTGTGCGCATCATGAAGGCGCGCAAGCGCATGGCTGTGAGTATTATATATTGTGTGCTATTATCAGATAACTTACTTAATCATTTTTTATTTTCCAGCACAACTTGCTAGTGTCGGACGTGACGTCGCAGCTGAAGTCGCGCTTCTTGCCCTCGCCCGTGTTTATCAAGAAGCGCATTGAGGGCCTCATCGAGCGCGAGTATCTGCAACGATCGCCCGAGGATCGCAAGGTCTATAACTACTTGGCCTAAGCGACCCAGGCGGAGCAGCAAGAGCAACAAGCAACTTGTGCAGGATCCGGATCACACTCATCTTCAAATCGCCAGGGCTAGTACACTGAAAAAGAAATCCGCAGCTCCGACGGCAGGCGCGCTGAGCTAAGCACACGAGGAGCATTCATATTTTTGACCACGATTATAGATGACCGCCAGCCAATAGCCCGAAAGCATAAATATATCAATTAGTGCGCCCCGAATTGTGAAATTTCGTTTCGCAACCCCTTTTGTAAGCCTGACATTCAAAATTGATCAGTTAAAAATGCTATTGCATAAGGCACACACCACCACCATACTTATTATCCCTCTAATATATTACTTGATATTCTCTAACTACTGTTTACGGTCATTTCTTTGCGCATAACAAGTGTATAGCAGTAAGCCCAAACCCAAGCCACACACACCCGCACCTCCCATTCAGAGCCACACCCACACCACATCCACCCACAAGATTCGTACGTAAAGCCAGATAAGAGAAATAATGCATAATGCAAGCCCTAATTGTAAGCAGCTGAGTAAAGGTAAAGAGAAGCAACAACAGAAATCTAAGCAAAAGGAATATTAATAACTATAAATATAGCTAAAGTAATAAATTTATAAATGAATTATTAATTTTAGTGAGCGTTTGATGTACATTTATACGTCTGACCCGAATCCAGATCCTAATCCCTCTGCTAAAAACATTCAAGCCACGTTTTGAGATTCATGTGAACAGAACTTAAAGATCGCAATGATTATTCCTATCTTTACTTTTGTGTGCGCCCAAAGCAAGTGTTTAACGTGAAGTGATTATGATTACGATAATCTGTATGAAAGTTGTTTTATCTATTAGTTGATATGTGGAATCGATTCCAAGTATATAGGCAACAGTTCTGTAATGGATTTGAGTTAAGTAGGACACAAAGAATTCATTTTGAATAACACACGAAAAACAATTTAACGCCGAACAAACAAAACGCATGAAAATCGGAAGCAAACGCGATCTGAAAATTGTAAATACATTTTTGTTCTTACGTATGAAAAATCGATATAAATAAAACGTATAATGAGCGTTAACATTTAACACAGTTGTTGTCTATCTTTTAAAAAGGATTTTAAAACAATTTCAATGGAATGCTTTTATTCGCCTGTAAAATAAAACTAATTTGGTAACATTTTTTATCCACAAAAAATATTGTTTTCAATTGGTGTCTAAACTATATGACTAAAAATGGGATAAAGTATAATTATAGTACTGAAAGATACATTTGGATTTAGGCTTTATAAACTTTGTATACTTTTAATGTGTCATCTTTTGCCTTTTTTGTTTCAATTATGTTGTGATGGAAGTGTTTCTGATATAGTACTGAAAGATACATTTTGATGTTGGATTTCCAATCACTTTTTAAGTTTCCTGGGTAATGTTTGGTATTTTTTATTTATATTTAAAATTAAAAAAATATTTGTAAGAAGAAATAGAACAGAAATTTCAAAACTTTTGAGGTTTCTTATCGAATTTTCTTAGAAACCATTTATGTATGCCTATTTATTAAGGAACTTATACTTCTTGGCCTTTTTTTCGGGATTGTGTAACCTTTTGGATAGCTCAGCCTATCGGGCACCAATACCAATCCCATATCGCAGTTATCAATTCGGCCAAACAAACTTATCCATTGGCAAATACCTCACACAAATAAGTTAACAATTATGCGAAATTGGCCGAGCCGAAACCGCAACTTTGGCAAACAGCGATGACTTGCGGATAGGGATACTATATGGCAAGATATATCGGGAGCAGAAACTCGGCACCGCTAAGTTCTTGGGTAAACACGGAGCGATCCAATTCGATCCGATCCGACGCACTGATAAGCAGAGAGTCGGGGGTTCCAGTTCCCCGATAAAGAGAGAGGTTCTCTGGGCCTGGGGAGCGGATGCGAACCGCTCAGTTCGCTTTAGTTGGCGATCGAGATTCGGTTTTCAGAGACGGTTTCAGTTTTTGCTACGGTCCCCAGGCGAAAGGTTGTTCTGTTCGGCCAAGTCTCGGAATTCGGATCGTATCGCAACGGGGGAAAGAAATAAAAACAACAAGCTGAAACCGTATACTTAATACGCGTGTGTGTAGCTCAAAAAAACAAGAAAAATATAAATAAACAAAACTACATTGCTACGTCAGAAGACTACAAACAAAAGATATGAACGCAGCGCTGACGTCGCCGCCAAGGTTCGAATCAGATATTATATTTTTCCGTTTTTTTTTTCACCCATTTCTGGGTTGTTTTTGATAAGTTTACAACTTTACAAAGGCTGTGATTTTATTTTTTCCTGTTGGTTTGTGACTTTTTGCCAAGCGATTTGCGTGCACTTCAAGGGGAGGAGAACTGCATTCGGGGCCCTCGCTCTCCTCCGATCTTTCCGATCAGCAGTGCCTTGAGATTGCCGCTCTCGAAGTGAACGTTCCGATGTGGAAACCTTATACACATGTCTAACTACACAAGCTAATCCCAGCCAGACCAAATCAGCTTTGAATCGGCAGCATAAGAACTGGACTAACTTAATGCTATCCCGCTGCACCAGTCGGAACGGAAGGAGGAAGTAGTTTGGAATTTCGCTTTGGATCGATATCATGAGCTCGCGAGGAACTGGTTTCGTCCTGAACGCCCAGTCCATGGGCCTAAATATCTCGAGACCGCCATCACCATCACCGCCACCGGCCAGTTCCAGGTGTCAGGAATCGCAGCAGAGCAATGCCTCCCAGCTGGGTGTCCTGACGGGGGAGGGATCCTCCCTGGAGGCCTCGACCCAGTCCCAGTGCAATTCCAGCACGGAGTCCATATCCACCGATTATTACCGCTGCCTGCTCCAAAAGCTGCCAGACGCCAACGACGATGGCAAGATGAACTTCGAGCTGAACAACATATTCCTCAAGCGGCTGGAAGAGATTGACAGCCTGGACGGCCAGGGAGGTGATGCAATGGTGAGCGGATAGGTAATCCATGGGGGTAAATGGAAGAGGAAATAATTACCATCTAAAAAATGATGTAATATATACGTAAGCGAGGGTTTTTATATGAAATAATTTTAATTTCTCAAAAAACCATCTGGTAGTACTAGGTCTTATTAGGGCTAACTTTTTACTATTCAAATTAAAATAGTTTTAAATCCCTTTTAAGCCCCCACATTTTTCCTTTACCTCTAGTACACCTCGCAGCTGCGTCTGGTCACTTATCAGGAGTGGGTGGACTTCCTGCTCCACGTGAACCACGTGATCCTGGGCAACATGTCGGATCTGGAGGAGGAGGCCTACGGCAAGATCATGGACTGCTTTCAGTCGGCCCAAGGAGAGCAGCAACAGGCGCTGGAGGTGAATCGCAAGCTGCAGAAGGACATTTGCAAGCTCATAAAGCTTGTGCAGACTGCCCACCATCGCGGCATTTGGGACCTGAAAGGCCTGTCCCTGGAGACCATGACCGTGAAGGAACTGATGGGCGTGGGAGAGGATGAGCCCCTGCCGGAAAGCGAGAGCGAGAAGGTAGGCCAAAGACCCCTGAAGGAAAGGGGCAACGGCGATTTCAAGAGCAAATGCGTCCACAAGTCCCGTAGAGTCGGGAACTCCACAAGAAGTTGAAACCATTGGATTCGTTGATCTATTTCTGTTTAATAAAATATTATATTTTGTTTGTTAAGCCTGTTGAGCCTGGTTTTCATTGGAGTTGTATTCTGTTGCAGATGGCCGAGTGCATGAAGTCTCTGGTCAGCGAGATGGCCGCCAAGCACGACGAGCTCTGCCACCTGAAGTCCCAGATCAGCGTCCTGGATGAAGTGATCATCACGGCCAGGCAGAAGCTGCTCCTCAAGGATCAGTGCATAGCCCAGCTCCATCAGCAGGTGAGATATCCCACATACAAAGTTTTTAAACCATTCAATTTTAGTCTAAATTCGAACACTAAAAAAATATAATTAGTTTTATAAATATCTAGTATACCAGGGGAGCTAGTGACGTTACTTAAACTATTAATAGAACATTTGGAATATTTTCCTTATCATTTAATCATCGTTTAATAGTCTGATGTGATATAGTTTAATGTTTTATTTCCCATAAAAACCTCAAGTAGTAAATATAACTATCTTATTTACAAAAATAAATACAATCCCCATCCACCGATTGATATTGAGATTGGAATTAATGTTAAAATAAATCAGTTTTGAAGATCTATCAGGAGAGCTAGTGACGGTTCTGAATTTATTAATAGACTAATTGGAATATTTTTCTTATCGTTTAATCGTCTGTTGTGACGCCCGATCGGAAAACCGATCAGCTTACGTTTTAGTATAATGTCGAGTTCATAGGAAATTCTTAGTGTACTCAACTCAAAAGACTCCGAAACTTATACATTTATTTTCCGAATACCCTATAAACAGCTGCAAGAGATCACTGAGTGCTTTGCCACCATGTCAGAGCATACGAAATGCGTGGGTCACTCTACCAATGTAAATTCCAGCGGGGATTTGGAACACGATCGGGCAAAGGCGGAGGAGTCCGCCAGCGATACGCTGACCGCCGATACGATCACAAACAACATGCTGGAGAATCTCACGATGCAGGACTCCCAGGAGAGCGAGATGCTCCGGATGCTGAACAGGGAGCTCAACGAGCTCTTCGACTTGCACCACAAACAGGACTACCAGGCCATGGAATGCAGCCGGAAACGTCTGTCTTGCTTCTTCGAAAAGTTGGTAAGATATCCACCGACACCTCTTTTTGATAAAATTTTATTCTATCCATATCCGTTATTTTTCAGACATCAGAGCGTGATGATACCGTGAAGAAACTAGAGAGCATTCGTAGTCATCTGAGGATCCTTCAATCGGACATAGACCAATCCTGGCTAAGCTCAGTTAACCCACGGACAGGTCCCGGTGATCCTGACACCCAGATGCTGGAAGCCCTACGAAGACGAATGCACAACCTTAGCCAAAGTAACCGGGAATTGCACGGAAAGTACCAGCGCCTCGATACCGAGTCAAAAAGTGTGTATTCCTGATCTACGATACGTTGACGTTTCGCTATAACCTTGGATAAAGTCAAAATTTCAGAGCTGCAGGCCAGGATTGAATCTGAAAGCGGCTTCAGTCAGAGGAATAGCGATATCCTAAAGGAGATCGCCGAAATGATTTGCAAACTGGTGAGACTACACTATATATATAGTAATTTATTAGATTATTATTTTTATGAAATTCTATAAAGAATCTTGAAATCCTTAAAAAAATAATATTTTATTTTTGAAAAATACCGAAGAGAACTATATTTTTATTAGAAAAGTTCTATAAATTCCTAATAGAAGAAAAATCTAGACGGATATAACCACACAGATTGTGTTTAATCCAACTCCTTTAATTTTAGGGTTCTGTGGAATTCTCCTACAACGAAATCTACGAGGAATCCTCGACAGAAAATCCCTTCTGTGCGGCCATCATGGAAATAATCGAGCAGAGATCCGAGCAGGAGCAGAAACAAATGGCATGTGTGAGTATCTGACGGTTTCGATTACCCCGCAATTAAGCGATTCCAATAACCCCGGTTGTCATATCAAATGCAGAAAAGCGATACGAAAACACCTTCCCAAATAAACACAAGGGAGCCCAGCAAAGCCACCAAAATCCCCACAGCCACGGCAAAACAAAAGTCAACCACTAAACCTTCAACTAAGCCAACGACAACTAAAACTATAACAACGAAAACAACAACAAAATCGAGGACCCCCAAGTAACTATGTCACTTGTTGACCCTCCTAAACATTTAGCCTAAGCTAAGCCAAGTTAAGTAGTTAAGTATAGCTTAAAGTTCGACAAAGTTGTAAAGTTATTTATCATCGAAATAGTTCCCGCCAAAAACCCTAAAAGAAGAAAAAACGTTTGTTTATGTACACAAATCAACTAAAAAGCATGGGGCGAAAAAAAGCCTGGAGCTTAGTGAAACGGGGGGCAAACTATAAATATTATCTTTAGAATATAAGATTTAAATTTAATTAATCTCAGATTGCAGAAATAATTATTGTTATCCTAGTTCTATCTTATATCCTCTAATATATTTATCAAATTTTAGACCATGCCTCTGACTTATAATATTCCTCTTATGTGGTAAATGACATTCGCCTTCGCGAAGGAAGCCACTTATATACTTTCTATGTACATATCCTGGTTGGAATAACAACAAATATTGTTGCCATTCGAGTCCTCTGATTTATTTACCTATATATACCTTCTGCCCGGACACTGAAGTAGGAGATCCATTTCACTCCCCTTTCGGGTTTTTGTCTACATTCGACAAATACAAATCGCTCGCGAATGTGTTTATTGTGGAAACTCGGCTGTATGTTCAACTGCAATTGCCAAAGAGAGGGAGCACCTCCTGCCCTCCATCCAGATTCACCTTCCCCCAGGAACTGGCGAATCGGAAATAGGTTTCGTGTTATTTATTTACCCACAATCGACACGCGAGGCAGGCGACCAGTGATATGCATATCGATGAGAGCCGCGGGGATTGGATTGAGCAGGGATTCGAGTGACGAGGCCTGCTCGTGATCCTCGTGAGTGGGATCTAGGGATAATATAAAGTGATCCTAGATCCCGTAATTCCTGTTTGATAAAAGTTACAATATATTTTTTTATATTAAGAAAGTGAGCTTCCGTGACTCGAAGTCTCTATAAGTCGTAGGTTTATGGCCACTAGACCATCTCTAGGCCATCAAAAAAGGGAAACGTAGAGAACAGAACGGAAAATAAGAACAAATCATTTTTTTAAAACAACAGTTTGCAGGATTATTGTATGTGCAGACTCTTCAAAAATACAAGTTGAACAAATTTTTTTTTTCGAATTTTTTTAAAAGTATATCAAGTCCCTCACGAGATCATCTCCTTGGCAAACTAAAATCAAACACAACTCGGCAGGAAGCCCCAGTCAAGGGGTCGTCGGCGCTGGGAACCGGAGTAGTTCGCTTCAGAATCCTGTCATCCGTCGGCGGTTGCTGTTTAGTCGCGTGAAACAAATCAAGGAAGCGCCAGGAGTCGGGAATTTCGCGCTATATACTGAACCTGCGCCTATAAATCACGATTTACGACCCCTAATTAGTCGCCCACGCGCCTAGTAAACCAATTTGAATTTTCGTATTTTTCGGCGCGAAAAACAAAAGGAGAAGCGTGCAATTAGCCAGGAAGTTTTCCGCTCAAAACGCGAGGGAAAAGTTGGCCAAAAGTGCAAATTGTTTTCGAGTGTTTTGAGGGGGGTAAACGAAAAAAAAAGGTGAACAGCGTGCAAACTGTAAATGTGCAAATTGAGTCGGTGGAAAAGGTGTGGAAAACTGAAATGTGGGGGCCCCTTAATGGGTTTAATGACAGACAAGGAATCATAACAATTCATTGCCCCCGTCTTAATCGATTTTCACATTTCCCCGGGGCTATCAAATTCGAACTCCTCCTGCTCCTCAATATAATACGCCTTTAAAAGTGTTTTAAGTGCGCCGAGCCACGCTTTCCTCTAGAACTCACCCCCCAATAAATAACTATAACTATAGTTCTCTATAACCATAGTTCGTCAGACGGACGATATTATTTGCTGCCACCCGCTCGGCAACTTTATTTTCAAATCGTGTCAAACAGTCGGGCCGCGCAAATAATAATATCTATAAAACGGGGGGACTTCCCCACCCCCACCAAAACTTGTGTTGCCAAAGTGCCAAAGAAACGAAACTTTGAAACCCGAAACCAAAACCTTGCCACCTACGGCTCGAATTGGTTTTATTTTCGTGACAAACTTTTAATAGCAATATTATTGAAATGAAATGAAACGGTAATGAAGTCGAAATTCGTCTGGGTTATGCGAGATATATTTCTGTGGCCGCCGACACGAAGGCTCCGTTCCCGAGCATTCGACACCGAAAGCGATTTGAGTACAGAGATATACACTCGTATCTGCAATCGACAATTGACAACTGACAGGTGATTCCGTGCGCGGATTTGCAGGCAATTAGTTACAGATTTCTGACTTGCCATGGTAAGCCAGCTGTCCATGTTCCACTTCCATATCCATTTCGGCTTTTAATTTGAATTCGTAGAACGCTGAGGCCAGCTCCTCCGACTGCCCCCATCGCCAGCAGTTGGAGCACACGCTCCTCCACTGCCAGACCCAGTCGGAAATCCTGCAGGCCACGCGGGACAATTACCTCAGCATTATCGATGAGTTCAAGCGGGACCTCGAGGAGCTGACCGAGCAGGTGGAGCAGCAGCAGCGCCTGCAGCAGAGCACACACACCAGCCAATCCTGTCCAGAACCAGAGCTCCACAGTGTGGATCACCCGCGAATCAACTGCGAACTAGAAATACAAGTTGGCCATACACCACACAGCTATTTTTAAACTGCTCTTAACTTTAATCTCTGGTTTCTTCCCATCTTTCTCGCACCAGAACGAACACCTCGCCTGCCAAATCCAAGGACTGCAGAACAATCTAAAGGATCGAGATAATCAGATCGACCAGCTGCAGTCCATGATCAGGAGCTACTCCGACTTCAGCGAAAATAACCGACTTAAAGGAGAGATACACGAACTCAAACAGAAGAATTGTGAGTTTACAAATTATCAAGGATACTCGTTCTCTAAAGTCCTTAGAAGTATTTTAAACCCAATACTTAATCCTTATGAAAAATTGATAATGATATATTTTAAATAGTTTATTATTAAAAAATAGGCCATTATATTATTTTATATTTTATCAAAACGATAAAATTTTAATTTGAGTTTTAAAAGTATTGGTTTGTCAAGTGCTATTTCACTTGACCATGACTTCAGCATTGAACTAGTTCCTTTAATCAAATATATTTACTTTGGAATATGCATATCCCTTTTCCAGGTGACCTGTCTCGCCAGGTGCGGGAAATGGCTACTTTGCTGAACAACCGAGAAGAACAACGCGTGGAGCTGTGCACCGAACACGGGCACTTGGTGACAAGCTTCGAGAATCAGTGCCAGGAGCTTAAGGCAACCAATAGAAGAGTGCAGAGCTTGCAGTCAAAACTGGATCAGCTGGAGCAGCTGCAGGATGAGTTGAGGACAGAGGTGGGTTTCGGCTTTGCCTTCTTAAAACTAGCAAAGAAATGACACTATCTATTCCAGCGCAAAATGCTGCGGGAGGAGGTGATCGCCCTGAAGGAGAAGGAAGCCGTATCAGCGGGACGTGAGCGGGCACTTCAAGACCAACAGAAAAATTTCCATCTGGAGGTGGAGAAGCAGCGCCAAACAATTAGCGAATTACATGCACAACTGCGCTTAGAGGAAGCCCGTTTCCATGAAAGTCAACGGCAGATGGATGAGGTCATGAAGTCTGTGAGGCAGGACATGCGCGCCTCAGAGGCCAAGCACCAGCAAGTAGTGACCCGTCTGAAGTAGGTAGTCCGTCCGGGATGGAGTGCATCCATATAAGAGCAGCCGCCATCTTCTCTCCTTCCGCTAGGCAGCAGACCGAGGTAAACCAGCAGCAGGATCAGATCATCGGCTCGTTTCGCAAGTGGAAGGATGCACAGGTCAGGGCCGACGATGCGATGCGCCAGTGCGCCAAGCGGGCCGAGGAGCACATCCACATGCTGCTGGAAGAGAACCAGGCGCTGGCCGAGGACTATCGCAACCTCTTCCGGGACCACACGCTCCTGGAGACAGAGATGTACCGGGTCAAGCAGGCGGTGAACTATGCGTCCAGCTCCTCGTTGGCATGCCCACCTCAGACGAGCGGTAGACGGACGAATGCCGAGGCGGGAAACGATGTGAGTTGGTTAAGAATATAAACATCAGCAAGGATATTATACAAGAACTCCAAAATGATTTAAAAACTATTTGATATTACTTTTGTCTTTTCAAAATTATCCCTAATTGGATTATCATAGGACCTCTAGAAACGGATAGTAATTTGATTTTCCATAAGATGCCTAACCTATCCTGTAAATCCCTTAGATGGACAGGCGACTGCAGAATTTGACCAGCACCTCCCAGCGTATTTCCAACCAGAACCGGACTCTCAACGAACAGTTCTGTAACCCCTTGAGTTCTCGTAGTCCGTCAGGAATAGGTCGCCCGGTGGCGGAGTCCACATTGAGGCCCAAAGGATCCTCGGATGATTTGTCGTAAGACAGGACGTATAACCTGGAATTCCCCCTCCCTCCGTCCATTTTATCTATGTTTTCACCCAAAATCCCTAGGCCAACAATATTTTCGAGGCGCGTAATTTGTAAATTATCTTTGTAAATTGTGGTAGAAAAGAAATAAAACCAAGTGCTTGTGTAGCTGGTCCTTAGATGTCTTGGGAATGGTTTCCTTCAAGTAAATTGTCTATAGAAAATTATAATGATATTTTTATAAAGTCAATGATCCGTCCTTAAGAGAGCTTAAAGCTGTTATGGGTTTATTGTATGTACGTTAGAAAATTCCAAAAACATTGGTCTCTTGAAGAGTACCTTAATTCTAATTCTGTAGAATCAGAATATCCCATATCTTCTAAACATCCTGAATGAGTTTGGCTCTTTCGCTTATTGCTATCAGAGCCATTTTGATTTGGGCCCTTTTCTTGACGCTCTCCTCTCGCAGGACGTCTGATTGCTTGGTGAGGATCTTGACGCGGGTGTCGCTGAAGCGTTCCGCCTCCGGAATGGACATCTCCAGGTAGACATCCTTGCCCACATTGACCAGAATGCTGTCCATTTTGCGGACGCGTGCCTGCATGAATATGTTGCTGCCGATGTTCACCTGCGTCTTGTAGCCCTCGGGTAAATGGGTGTCGAAGGTCTGGAGGGTGTTCTTCAGCTGGACGTACTCTATGATCTCCTCGTTGAACTTGCCGATGCACTTTTCCAGCTGCCGGAGATCCTCCTTCAGCACTTCGTTGATGAACTCCTCAATCCGCGTGATTTGCGTCTGATTTGCATCCTGCCTGTGGGATTTCGTAGTTTAAGAAGGATTCTCTAGTTGATTTATTACTTACTCCTGCATCCGCTGGGTTTCTGAGCTGGTTTTTGGTTTTATTTGCATTGTAAGGGCGGTAATTAGACAGAAAATAGAAAATCTACACAATTGTTTACTTATTGCTCTTCTTCTTCACTATAGAATTGCGGCAAACTGCTGTTATCGATAGGCAGTAGTGTTGTACATGTAGCTATTTCTAAGCCTAACCTGGCTATTTGTTGGCCTTTTAATTTAAATGTATAATTTTAAATAAATGAAATACCCAAAAATATGTCTTCTTCTAATGTCTAAATGGTGTTATCTCCAAAAACGTATAAATAAAAGTGTGTAAGTGTGTAAGTGTTATAAAAAGGATTTAAAAATAAAAGTAGCAATCGCATTGTTCGCATTGTTTTATAAAACTGAATGAAGCCAATTAATCGATGTTTGTGGAAAATTTTATTCTTCACAGTTCCAAAATAAAATATGAAATCAATTTATACAAAATGCGTTCTTTACTTTACTCAAACGGTTCAAAAGATAAAATTCTCATATTTTGCTTGTAATGGAATGTAGTTTATTATCTTGTTTTATGTTCCTTGGCTATTACTTTTAAAATTGGCGGGTTTCTTTTCACCTCCTTAGTCAATTTACCAAATGGTTTATGTCTTAGCTAACTAATGTGAATTTGAGTACATGTTTAATTTCCCCGAGTTGGCAGCCCGTTCCTCGACTTTTGTTTTCGCGCAATTTTTAGCAAACAATTTCAGAAATGTCGCTTAAAAAGGCTCTCGACGATTGCATGATCGATTTCGACCGATGTGTGCTGGTCACCGACCTCCTGGAGGAGTACAAGCTGTCCTACAAGGAGGTGAACGATGTGCTGAATGCCTACATCAAAAGCCAGGAACCTGCCACCAAATTCGAGAAGAGGTTTTTGGTGCATGGCAAAAAGAAATCCCAAGGATCCGCTGCCGGCGAGGATCTGTACTCCGTAGTGCTCGAGAGTAAGCTGAAGGATTGGCTGGCCAAGGTGCAGGATGCGGAGTCCCAGCTTTATAGTGTGAAAATCGCCGGGGGCACCAAATCGCCGGCTGCGACTTTCAAGCCCATGCAGCACTTGGAGGTCAAGTTGGCCAAGGTGGAGCAGCGACCAGGAGCGGGAAAGCCAATTCCCACTGCAAATGGAGTCCCAGCCACCAATGGAGTTAAAAGTGAGCCCTCCAAGTCGCAGGGCATCAAGTCAGAGGCCTCCAAGTCTTCTGTAAAGGTGGAACCATCCAAATCCTCCCTAAAAACAGAGAAAGATGCCGATAAACCCCCAGTTGGCAAGGGAAAACACTCTCCGGAATCCAAGAAGACCTCACCCAAGGAGCAGGCCTCCAAAGCAAAGCCTGCTGCTGCCAAAAAAGGCAGCATCAACAGCTTCTTTACAGCGGCGGCCAGCAAACCCAAGGATGTCAAGGCCACGCCCACCAAGCCAGCTACCGGTACCATGGATAACTTCTTCAAGAAGCAGCAACCAGGAGCCCAGAAGTCGCCAACCGAAAAGGAAAAAGAAACCAAGAAAGCTGCACCCGCCTCAGCCAAAAAGGAACCATCAAAGAAGAAATCCCCCAGTCCCACTAAAAAGACTTCGGCGGCTAACACCTCTGTCCAACTGTTCGACGAGGAGAGCGCCGAATCCTCCGACGAAGAAGAGAAGCTAGACAAGCTGCGGCGCAAGGTGATTGGCTCCGACAACGAATCCGATGTTGAGAAGCCTTCGACCTCCAAGCGGCGACGCATCAGCGATTCCGAGGACGAGGAGCAGCCACCCAAGAAGGCCACCGAGCAAGAAGTAATCGCAGTGGATGAGGAAATGGATACGGAGCCAGCCAACGAAACGTATCTGGACGAAGATGGTTTCGTCATCACGCAAAGGAAACCGGTCAAGGCCCAACCCGCCAAGAAAAAGGTTTCCCCCAAGGCCGCAGCCCCTGCCAGCAAAAAGAAGTCGCCGCCTTCAGCCGGAAAAGCTGGAAAAGATGGGTCCAAAACCAAGCAAGCCGGCATCATGAGCTTTTTCTCCAAGAAGTAATAAGCATGAAAGAGTTTTTCTAAAGTTTAAGCACTAGGAAAGAAACTATTTTTGTTTTTAATAAATTTATTTATGCCCATGAAAATGTTATTGTTCTATTTAAGAAAGAACTTTAGAGATTCAATTCAAGAGAAGAAAACGATGTATGAAAAAAATGGTCAAGGAATAATTATACTCATAAGTAATATATTCTTTTCTTTTTTTTTAAATACACTTCTTATTTCTTTAAAAGTTTGCTAGCCACCGTTTTCTTTTAAAAATTAATACTCCCTCAAAATATTTGTTTTGACCTCCATATACTGTATTTTTCCTGCTTATGAGCATATGTATCCTGAAAATTCTCATATATTTAATGGTCATTAAAAACACAAGTTCGGTTTGTTGTTAAAAAGAATTTATTGCATTTGTTTATAGCTGCTAGAAGTTGTTTGAGTATCTTGTTTGTAATTTGTATTTAGTTATTTATATAGATTCGCGTGTCTGATTGTGTGTCCGTGTGTGTGGGCGTGTCGGTGTGAATTTTGCCTGGCCTATGCTGTATCAGTGCGTGTTGCTGTTGTTTTTGTCTTCGTTATCTTTACCGTATGTCAAAACACTTTAAAAAATTAAGGCGAGGTTTGAAAAACACTTGTTCGTTCATATAATTCGAATATTCATTAATTTAAATTGTTCATTTGTTGTCTTGTTGTTTTCCTTTTTATTTCTTTTTTGGTTTCTGCAGTGATTGCGTTTGATTCCTATCTGATTTTTAAGCATTAAAAGCTTACAGTCAGGCTGCCCGATGGCAAGCAAATACATATGTATGTAAGTGATTGAAAAAGGTCTTCTTTAGTGGATAAAACAATTCGTCGTGTTCCTGGCAAACAATCGAGATCAGTGGCTACACTTAGGTAGAAGCTTCTCAGAAGCTAAATTAATGCTTACACTTAGATTTGCTTCGGCCTATCTACCGATTAAGTATTCCATTCTGGCTCTGCTCACTGTATAGATCATCTAGATTTTGAGTTCAGGGTTCTACTTAAATTTGACTAAATTTTAAAGACTCCAATCATAGACATCCATACAGTGGGCACTCCAAGTAGGTTCCACTTTTAGCTTTGGTAATTCATAAATATTGCTCGCAATGCATAATGAAAAAGTCATTTGCTATATAATCAATCAGTTAATTAATCATTTCCTAGGTGTGATATGAACATAATGTGTGCATGATATGACTCTCTACTAATATGATCGTTTGATTTCTCTCGCACGCTATTTGCCTTGACTTAATCACCTAAATGAATGTAACATTCGTTTCGTACAATTTAATATCTCAGCACCATTTTTTTAATAATAGCACAAAGTATATATGCATTTATGTTTTTTGTATGGGTCAACAATAGAATTTTCCTAGAAGTTTTTGTGGGTGTTTTTCATTTCGTTTCATTTCGCTACAGAGTAAAATATATCTAAGTTTATTTAACTTTGCTCGGTTTCATGGTTTCGGTTTGCTCTTTCTCTAAACTTGCGTATCTACGACACTGCCATAGGACTCTTCAGCGAATTTGGGCGCAATATAATCCTCGTAGTAGTTGATGAATATATCCTTGAACTCATCGGCGATGAACTCCAAAGCGTTTAGCATTTGCATTAGCTCCCGATCGTTGCACTTGTAGTTGCTCAGGGCCATCACATCCCAGAAGTACGCGAAGTACTTCACGTACTCGATCGACTGACCGCCGTACTGAGCCATAACGCCGGGAAGTACGGATCGCAAGATGGATCCCAGTTTGTTGAACTCCCAGTCGTCCAGCACGGTGGCGCCCTCTGTTGGTTGCCGCAGTTGTTAGAGGTAGGAGGAGCAGACAGAGAAAGAGAGAACAACAGTGATAGTTTTCAAGGGTAGAGGACTAAGTTGAAAAAATCCGAAGAAAATTCAAGGATATTTCTGTTATAAGGTCTAAAACTGTTCTACAAAAGAAAAACAATAAAGACCTTTGAAAAAAAGCATTATCATCTAATCTGACTATATTGAAATGCTATCTCGTATGCTATATTTTTTGTTAAGGCGACTATAAAAGTAAATATAATTATAATTAGGTAAGAATTTTTTTTTAAATCTAAGTAGCAAAGCTAAGTATTCCCAAGCTATGGCTAGAACTACCTAGTGGTACGTTATCCTTATAATAACGTTTATAACAATACATGAAATTCATTTTTCCGAAGCTAATTTGGAAAGCAAACTATATTCTGGTTCTATAACTACCTAGTGATATGTAATCCTTATAACAAGGATGAATACAATGAAATGGAAGGTCGAGTAGTGGGAGAAGTGCGCAACCAAGAGAGAAACGTGAGCTGGCAATGACCGAAAGTCACATAAATTGCAAAGGCTTTTCATTTCCGAGGACTTACCACGGTGCACCATGAGGCACTGCTCCAAGAGGAGCCTGGCCAGAGCCACCTTGCACTCGTGCAGGTCCATCAGTTGGTTCTCGGCCCGCTCGATGGCCGCGTACAGCTTGCAGCGCTCCTCGATGAGCTCACAATCGATCAGGGACGTGGTGAAGGCCCAGAACCACTCCAGTTTCTGGAACTCCCCGCAATGGGGACACTGGATTAGCTCGGCGCCATTGAACTCCGGCTGGGTGTACTCCTCGGAGAGCCACCAGCGCAGATTTGGGGCATGTGGCAGGGCCTTGGGCGTGAAGATTTCCATGCACTTTGGATTATCACAACGGTAGCGATGAAACTTGTGCTGAACGATTAAAAACAAAGGGAAAATATTACATTTTTAATATATTTGTTTTTGGAAAAACTTATAATTGAACAGAGTAAAATAGTTTAAAAAAAATATAGAAGAGAATAAACAATAAGAAGTAAACTAAAAAATTAAGAAAGGCTATATTTAGGTTGAAAAAGTTGTTCTTAATATAAGGATAGTATTGTGCCCTGACTTACGAACTGATCTTCCGAGGGCGCCAGCTGGCAGGCGTTGCAGTGGCACCTAATGCCGCGCTCCTGGAGCTGCTTGCTGCGCTCCTCCCGCGGCATCTGCTGGAAGTTACCGCCGGCGAAGCAGTTGTAGATCCCCGATCCCGCTGGTAGATCCAGCAGGGCCAACGCGGTCACCTTGCGGCCGGAGAACTTGGCGCAGATCGTGGATGAGCAACTGTGGCGGCACAAACTGAGGGTATCCGGATAGACGGCGTACGAGACGACGGCCACCTCACCGGCCAGCAGATGGAGGCGACCCTCCTGGAGGCGCATGGGGGCGGCCCACAGCTGGAACTCGTTGAGCGGCGAGAAGACGTGAGGATCAGCGGGCAGGACGAAGGATCGGCAGGCGGTGAGCGATCTGTGGCGCAACTGGCCAATGTGCCGCATCAGCAGGGCGGCACAGAGCAGCTCCCACTCGGCACTGGACATCCGGGAGGCCGTGGGCAGGCTTTTCTCCAGCTGCTCGAAGAACATGGTGCACTTGCTCAGGTAAATGGCCAGGATGTGGCAGACGAGGGCCAGAGCAATCACCGTATCCGTGGGTCGCTCCTCCCGCAACCGCTCCAAGCGGAGGACAGCACTGTAGGCGATGTCCTGGCGCTCCTGCAGACTCCCATTGATGGCCGCCCAGAGTTTGCTCAGCGTAGGCTTCTTACGGCAGTGGCTCAGCATTTCCGGCAGCCCGGTGATCAGCATCCGGAAGGCCAGCTGCAGGAGTCGCGGCATCCCGAAGACCTCGCCGAAGGACTCGAACAGCTCGATCTGGTGGCCAAAGCACTCCACCGCATGGATGGCGGCGTGCTTGAAGCGGCACTTGCGGGAACAGTAGACCACCTGGCGGTTGGAGCAGTAAATGCAGGGGAAGGGAATGAACTGGGTGATCCCGCAGTGGTCGCACACCCGGCAGTTGCCACTGGGCACCATGGCCACCGCCTCGGACTCGAAGATCAGGGCGTTTTTGGCCAACGCCCGGGTGGTGTGCAGCGAGGATGAGTTGTCCAACCAGGCTCTGGAATATATAATATAGGATTAGAAGAGGATTTTTAATATCTCGATATATCCACTCACATTTCGAAGGCTTTCGAATCGTTGGTATCCAGATCATCGCCCGTTTGCACGGCCATCTCGAAGCGCTCCACCTTGAGCACCTCGCACTGGTGCCACAGCTCGTGGGTCCTCGTTTCGAACACCTGGTTCAGTTCGATGTGCAGGAGCTCGTGCAGATGCTCCTCGCAGAGCGCAAAGTTGCGCAGTTTTAAGGCACAGGCGGCTTGGCGCAGCTTAATCAATGGCAAGTACTCCTCCGGATAGCCCAGGTCCAGGGCGCACAGGCAGTCATCGTAGGATTCCTGGTGAGGATCATTGGAAGCTTCTTTAATAATATACTTATTTAAGGAACCTTATAAGCCATATCATTATTTTTTACAAAGTTATGCAACTTATTCCTAAATTTAAGGTCAGGTACATCTTACAGTACTAAGAATATAAAATAATTCTACCTTATCTTATCTTATATTTAAATCCTTAAGGATATTTATGTGAGGCTCCGTTATTATAACTAATACAAAATAATAATGTTATACTGGGTAAGTAATATAAGGCAAGACATTCAGATTTATTCCAAACATTCTATTTATATTTAAAGATAAAAATATTCGTATCATCTTTGCCAAAAAAAATGTAATATAAATATTGAAAATGGTACTTTTTGATCGGTTTCCAGTAAATGCGAGTTTGAACTACTTTTTCAATACTTTAATGTCGAAATAAACTATACTGAACTATCTTACTCATACGGAATCTTACCAATCCTAATATATTTTTTTATCAATTTTTGTTATCACTTAACATTAACATATTGTAAGTTAAGTAAAACAATCTGGTGGATTCCAGATTGTTAGGAGGCTTTCCAGGACTGTCTTCTTACCGCATAAAGGCCGCAATCAAAGAGGGCCAGGGAGCGATTGGCGTGAGCTAGGGCGGCTGCCAGCGTGTTCCGGGCGGGGGCCAGGAAGATGGCCTCCGTGAAGAGATCGCTGGCCTTGAGCGGATGACGCTCCTTGCGGTAAGAATCGTTGCCAGCCTCCCGCAGACGACGCGACTCCTCCTCCGACTTGAAGTGGCCGGATTGGTGGCGCAGATGTTGAAACCATTTGAGTACTTGTGGCCTGTGCGATTTGGAAAAAGGAAAGGAGGGGTGGTTGGTTAATTATTCACGGCAAATGTCAAAACGAAGTGACCCAAATTCCGAGTTCGACAGCAAACAATGCTCCTTAACCTAAACGTACGAATGCATGCAATCGTTCAGGCCACACTGGGCCAGGTTTAGACTCTTGTAAAAAAAGAAAAAAATCTTTCGTAGTAAAACAAAAAAATTAATGTTACGTGTACGCTCGATTTTCAAACTTTTTGGCGGGATAATTATGCATTTAGAAGAAAATTATACCTTATTATTACATTTTATTTTGTTGAATAGGCCTTAAAAATCGTCTATCTGGCCCAGTGTGCAGGGGTGCAAAATCAACTCCCACAAATTAAATTAATTTCATGGGGTAATTATGGATTTGCATAATGGCTTGAAAGGCCGACCTGGCACTTAACCCATATAAGGTCACTGGTCGACAAGGCGACCATGCGTTTTGAACATGTTTCAAATATGTTGGACAATCATGTTTGGGGGCGATATGAAACGAAGATGAACACGTTGAATAAATACAAAAAAATAAACTACATTGTGGTTATAAAAAAAGATCTACAAACATGTTCACTAATATAAACAGATATTACCCATTATTTAAGTTATATAATGGTAAATATGTAGTGTTTGGGTACATTTTTATATAAATACGTATTTTCAAAAAACAATTATTTAGATAACTATTTCTGAATAAAATATTATAAATATTTTCTCTAATATTAACAAAGCTATTATGGAACACATTGCTATAGTCAGTGTTTGGTAACTGTAGTATGCATAAGTATTACATACTTTCAAAAAACAACAATTTAAAGAACGGTTCCTGAACAAAACCAATCTTATTTTACATTGCTTCATAATATCAATATTTCAAACCTCTGATTTTCCTAGTTATCTATAATCAAAATTCTTGAGCATCATAATAATCGGTAGATGGAACCCCAAAAGGGTTAATGGCCACAATCGTAACCAGCGTTTTGTTCACCTAAAATCCAGCAGCGGATCCTTGGTCGTGGGTGGTGAAGAGATCCCCAGTCCGCCCACTGCCCCAATCAGATCCTCATCCTCCTCGGCGTTTTCGGGACGGGAAAGTGGCGCCGCCGTTGAAGTGCTGGCCCCCAGCTCGACATCCTCCAGATCCCTGCTCAACTTCTGGCGCTGCACGGGTGTTAGGAGCACGAGCAGCTGCAGCTCGTCCTTGTGGAGCAGCTCATCGGGATTCAGGTGCTTCAGTTGCTGGCCAATCAGGTCGCTTAGGGTCACAGCTGGAAAACCGGAAGTGGCAGAAGGAGCGGGAGGGGCAGCTCCTGCCAAGGAGGCGGGACCGGAAACGGGCGCAGATGACGAGGAGGAAACGGGAGGGGGAGCGGTGGTGGTGGTGGTGGCGACGGCGATGGCGGCTGGGGCTGGTTTGCTGTTCACACGCGCAGAGGATGTGGAGGAGGCCATCACTTGGTGGCTGGTTGCTGCTTTTGGCTCGCTTTTTTCTGGTCTCGCGCTTTCGAGCCTTTCAGTTGGCCATCTTGTCACTGCCGCGGCGGCAGTCCTGGCGAGTTATTGGCTATCAATTCGAGTGCACAACGCCCCGACATCATTGACTAATAACGCTTGCTAAACTTTCACGAACTCCCGCACGTTGTGGCCTTCATATTGATTTTTTTAAACATCGCCTTTCGCCCTAGCGATGTGCCAGTCGTAACGGCCTTATCGCATAGGGGTGGACTCCCCGAGCTCCCGTTATTTTGGGGGATGACACTTTGAAGACTCTTTTAGTATTTTAAAATATATGTTTTTTAGTAATAGTACTTAACTGAATATTTTTTAAAAAAGACTGGCAATCTTAACGAATTTAAATATGATTATTTTTTAAAAACAGGCCCAATCCAGGCAGATTTTAAAAATCTTATAAAATTTCAGTTAAGTTTTGTCAATAAATAATTTTTTTGTATGTTAATGAACTAATTTTGATTTGTATAATGTCTGATAAATGCTAGTATTAAGTAATAATGAAGAATAAATAACATTATATTTTAATTTATATTTATTTTTTTATTCTTTTTAAGAAACCACCCCAAAGGTTGTACTGGAAGAGTCACACCTGTAAAGCCCTTGCCGTAGACTGTTGTGATTTTCATTGCGAACCACCCTAAATACCAAAAATCTACCAAATCAACCTTTTTCATTCATCTGGCATCACTATGAATAGCGCCAAGTTCTAACTTTTGGTGAGGGCTTTTTCCGTTTAAATTCTTATCTACCGGACCGGTAAGTCTTTTCTCAAAAAGCAAACAAATCCCGTTGGTTGTCTTACCGCACGTTACCATCATTGAACGGACCGTGTGCTATGTTCACAGTTGACAGACCCTGTTGATAAGAATGGGCATCTCTCCTCCTCTTTCCCATTGCCTTTGCACACAGAGAAATTTTAATATAAACAGTAGATCATATCGATTTTAACCATTATAAAAAGGATAACAGAATGTTCCTCAATACAAACTTAAATCTTACGAGTCTAAAAAGATATAATTCAATATAAAAAGAGGAATCCAACATCATTGAGGTAATTTTTAATATCTTCAATGTCATAATAATATGATATTTGACTTTTTTAATGGGATAAGAAATTTTTTTGACATTTTTTTATTTTTTGTTGTGTGTACCTTTCGTTTTTGCTTTGCTTACCTTCCAGATTGATCCACCTCATCTCCCGCTCGAAGAACAAACACATGCATTGCACTCGGCTCTCTCCGATCTGAAAGTTGTAAGTTTAATCGGGCTTATCTGGTATTTGCTCGGATCTTATCACTCACAGCCTCTGGAGCAGTGGAGCATATGCCGTCGTATAAGAAACACTTGTCGCTCGAGTCTTGTGTTGTAACGTACTGTTTGTGTCTTTAATTGTTAGAGATAAAATTAAGTAAAATAAAATTGGGAAAATAATGTCGAAAAACGAGGATACACCAATTGCCAAGTGAGTTTTGAGGTGGAGGGAAACGGTTTATCGTCTGACTTCTTCCACAAAAGTTGCGCCGAGCAAAAAGTTGGCCGAAAATAAAATCTCTTTTGGGCGAAATTAACATAAAGCGCCAAATGAGCTGCTGATTTGTTAAATAGGCGTAAGAGCGGACCGCGTGGGACCGACGACAACTGACGTTTCTCGGGGTCTTGGGATTTTCTAGGTGCGCGGAGGCCTCGAAAAGTTGGATAGAAAGCTTAAAGTGCGACGGCTAACGTATTTTCCTATTTTTTTCCTGTATTTTTTTTTTGGATTTTTTCCTTTTGTGCAATTGCGTTGGAAAGTTGCAGAGCAAGTAGTTTAGCGCCATTTGCACTTTTCGTAGTAAAAATTACGCGCACTTGCTCTGGCACACCCACCAACTCACACACACACGTGGAAAACTTATCAACGGGCACATCACACGCACACACACGTGCTGCTGATGAGGGCGGCGGAGTGGGCGTGGCCTTTAAGTAGTCATCGTAGTTTGCGTTAAGTAACAAAACTTCAAATTGAATTTTTCGCAGCACTTTTCATTTTAGCACCTATCAAAAAAACCCTTTTCGAGCGTCTCACCTCGCTTTCCGAAGCATCAGCTCATTACAGTGGGAACTGCCTGCTGATGGACGGTTTTTAGAGGTGTTTTGCCATGGGGTTGGTGGAGATGGGGGGGGGTTTCGGGGTGCAATAGCCGACCATACAATGTGTCTGCTTAAATGCCGCAGTGTTTTGTTGGCACCGGCAACGCTACGTTTTAATTCTCTGCTGGGGTTTTTCGAGTCGGAGCTTCCCCGAAAAACTTTTCCTGCTGCGGCTGCACTTACTTCTCATTCTTTCCGAGCTTCTTTCACTTGTTTACCGTGGAAAACAAGTACATTTCTATAGAAACTTGGCTAAAAACAGCTAACGAATGGCACATTTTAATTAAAGAATTAGTTGTGAAATAGCTGAAATGGTTTTGAGCTCATTCTTGATTGTTGATTGTGTTGCAGAAATGGATAAACAGTAGGATTTAAGATTTTAAAAAAATAATGTTTTATATTTTGTTGCAGATTTATATAGTTTGTGGAAGTAAATAATACTAAAATATTTTTTTACTTTTTGTAAACAAAATCAAATTTAACATGAATCTAAATATCTTAAAATTCAGATCTTTAACTAATGACAGAAAAAAATCTTAAAATAAACTTGTAATGTTTAACATAGTTAAGAAAATAATGATAATATCAACGTCTGTGCCCAAATTGAAAAAGAAAGGAATTACAAGTTTTGCATTTTAAAAACAGAACTTTAAACCTTATATTTCAAAATTAAAATAAAAAAAAATCTTAAAATAAATTCATTGAATACTAATATTAGTTCTATAGTTTTAGTAGTTTTTTTATAGTTAGAAAGTAAGGTACCTATAGATAAGTATGCCCTTATGCGTGCTTTTAAAATATTCCAACAGGTGGCGCACGCCATACTTAATATAAGATGCACCAGAGTCATCTGTAGAAATGTAAGAGAAAGCATATTATTTTTTGAAATAAGTTACTTAGTGGTGGGAGCAACACACAATGGTTAATTTTTTTTAGTCTTTACAACCTCTTAAATAATTTCCTTGTGCCTGTAAAATGTTTCCCGGAAGATCGCAGCTATTCCACAGACTTAACCCCTTCTTTTCCTGCAGGCGCAACTCGGATCGCTCGCGGCGGAGCAACTACGGCACGGCGCCCTCGTTCCACCTGCTGGAGCAGGGACAACCAGGTGCGAACGGAGGCATTGGCAATGGCAACAACAATCACCCGGCAACGCCCTCAACACCTGCGCAAATTTTTTGTTTACACGGGCGGTCCAACAACGTCGAAGGTGAGTGGTTGGGGGGTCTTCTGGGGGTGAAAGGGCGACAAGGTGACTGTGACAAACTGCGGGGCACTTTCGTGTCGCTTTCAATCAGGGCGGACTGCCTCGCAGCAATTTGCAGTCATTCATAAATTATCAAGAAAACGCAGCAGGCAGCGGCACTTTGCACTAAAAGTCAAATGCAAACAAATCAAAATCGACAACAACGAAAATCAACCAAATTAGTTTTCACATTGTTATTTTCGTGTTCCCTCTATGTATGTAGATGTTTGATTGTTCTTAAGCGTTATTTGTTTGTTTTTCCTTTTTTTTTTGCTGTACTTGGTTTTGTTTGTTTTTGGTAAAAATCGAAATTTCTGTGCAATTTACTCGTGCATTCCGATGTATGGGTGACTGAGGAGCTGTAATATCGGGTAAATGCTCGCTAATTGGCAGACGGCACGGAAATCGTCGGAAATGAATGATGCCCGGCTCTATAGGAAGGCGACTTCGCTGGATAAATGCCGCTTGGAAATGCTGCACGAATATGGTGAGCAAACAACTTACCACCTACTCGAGGCCTTATTTCCACCCAGCCACATTTCACTGCCCCTCTGTCATCAATCAGCTGACGATGATTCTCGAGGTTGGCAAACCAAATTATGGTGGAACTGGGCTGGCCACGGTCCAATCTGCCCCCCTCTGCCTCTCTGCCCCTGATCCACCCACAGCATCTGTGGTATAATCAAAATTTATGCTCTTTGCTGACATACCGCCGCTGTGAGCAGACCGCATCCCAGTTCCACTCCCCCACAACCATATGTCATAAATCGCCGGAGGAGCCAGTGTAACGCTCGCCATAATTTACGTACGACATTGTCGATGGACCAAATAAATGTTTGGATCATTTTTTCACTCCCCCCGGTGAGAATACGTCTACTACGTAGGGTCGAGAAACCGAGAAATCGATGTGGCAATGCCAAGTTTATATTTTAATTTCCTGCGCGAAGTCTGCTAGGGGCTACATTTTTTACTTTTGGGAAATACCCTGTTTTGATAGTTTACAGTGAAAGTGTTTTATCGGTATCTCAAGTCCCCTAAAACTGATCTGAAAACCGTCTACAAAAAGATCTTAGAAAAAAAAAATCCTATCTTACACTTTACCCCATACAAAACCTTAACAAACCGAAAATAACAAATATTTGAAACTTATATTCTAAAGGTTATAGAAGGGATCTAATTTATTTGTTTTTCAAATTTGTCCGTAAATTTAGTTTTATTTGTTTTTCAAATTTTCGGTTTTATTTATACTCACAAGCTCACATTTTCTTATATAGGGAGATAACATAGTTTTTCTAAGTTGTTTCTTAAGTAGTAAACTACTTTTATAAGCTATTCGTTCTAGCTATAAACCTAAACAGTAATGGCCATCCGTTAGTCGCGACCTTCCAATAAAGAATCCCTATTTATTTCTCCTTTTTTGGCGATGATTCGATTTATTGGCAGACGAGCGGGCCTTAAATGAAATTAACTGGCGTCTAGACAAGGTGGATCCGCTTCTGGGAGCCGAGATGTATACTGGCGCACACCGATAGATAGATAGATATATATTATGCAATCGTCTTGGGGCGCTCGGTGCATTCAATCATAGTTTGAGTTACTAACTCCCATTAGATAGGTTGACTAGGCAAGTGCAGTTCGATGCAGCTGCTTTGATTTGCGCTGGCCCGTAGTTAGTCGTTCGTTAAACGCGCTCCAGATGGGACCATTTGCAAATGCTGGAATACTAAGCAGTTCGAATAGGTACTCAGGTCCGTGTTCATTGTTCCCCCGGGTGAACCTGCTCATTGTTATCGCCGCG